TTTTGTGTTTTATCAATTATTTTTTATTTCGTATAAATATACATATATATATATATACATAAATTTGTACGTTTTTATGTAACTTTATTTTCCCAAACTCATCATTTTCCAATTTTCGGCAAATTAAAATTCAGTCTGCGTTCTGATATACACAGTTACTCGTATATACAATAATAATACAACAATAGCAATGCACAAAAGCAGATTAAGTTTACGTGTATTTTCGCTACTATGCGTGCGAATATACGAGTATATACCTGCACGCGTGTGTGTGTGTATTTATAAATGTGTCTTTATCTCTGTGCAACTGAAATTGATTGATCTGTTTTGGTTTGTTGCTATTTTAGTTTCCATTGTTTCGCACTACATTTGTATATATACATACAAATATATATATATGTATGTATTCTTTTTCACATTTAATCTATTGCGCAATTTCATTTATTTTATTTTTTTATTTTTGTTAGTTTTTTTTTATTCCTTTTCCGCACACAATAGTTCTGATGATGAACTTTTCCCCGAAAAATTGGACACGTTCCCAATTCGGACGAGTACATAAGTAAGTTATGTCGAAATTGATAGCGTTAATTGCTCTTTCATCAAAAAGAAAGAAAAAGGAAAAAACAAATACAAAAAAAAACAAATTTTAAACTAACATTGACTTGATAAAAAGTTAGTTTTTGATAAAAGTGTAAAATATTGGGATTACATTTGTTAGCAATAAAATGCATGAGTCACCGTTAATTGAGAGATCACATGAATTTATTTATTAAAAAAAAAAAAAACAAATCATTCGTAAACGTTTTTGATTCTTTTTTTTAATTTAGAATTTCGAAATTTTGCAGAATCACATCGTGATGAAATAATAACCAGGTGTGGCATGATGCAATAATTTAAAGTTAGTTTCATTCTCTTTTCGCAATCGGCTTCACAGCTACCTGGCATATAACGTGGTTCGATTTTTTCCTGCCAACCTCTTTTGTTAAAGAAAAATCTATCTTTTTTTAATAAAAACTCTGAGGAGAATTTTCATATTATTTATTATTTATGCAACCCCAGCTAATGAGCTCGAGTGAATGCCTTTCATGATTGTTCATTACAACCTTAGAAAATTGTAAGAAAATATAAGAAAGGGAAGAAATTCGTCCACCAAAAATTATATATAGAATTCAAAAAGATGAGGAGCTGACTGAATTTGCTATATCTACATTTGAATGCAAATCAGTTTCACAGTTTTACGCTGAAGGTCGTTCAAGTCGATTAAATTTTTAAACACCTTTGAATATTATAGTCAGTTGGCTAGGTTAACAGCACCTCATGGTGATACTTATCCTGGTTATGTGAAGAAGATTTCGCTCACTGTTCCAGTTGCTCAAACCACTTGATGTATTTTGCGAAGCTCAGGAGCTTAATGATGCCTTTCCAGGTGTTATTTTATAGACTTATTTATATCCATACTTGAATCTTAGAAAAAGAAGAGAACTTCTACCATCACAGAAAAGAGTAGACGTCATTAGAGATTTTTCAGCGTTTGTTATAATGACATTCCATTACAAACTAAATTAATGATCTTTTTCTATATTATCTTAATTTCTGTAAATGTACCTTTTATTGAATTAATGGACTCTAAGTTAGATTTTAGAAATATAACAAATTCTTGTGTTAATGAGGCAAACGAATGTTTCGCTAAGGACTTCAATGACCTACGCATTACCAAATGAAACCCAGTTTTATGGAAACCAGACTATCATTTGTACCGTGAAAAATTCGATTTGGTATAAAAACACTTTTTACTATTCGCGTTAAGAAACTTTCACTGGGATGAAAAGTCTGCCTACTAATAAAAGTCGTTTACGACTCAATAACCTGCCTGCACTGCATATGTTTGGAAAATAATGAAACTAAGCAGCTGATGGGTAAATCTGTAACTGTTTACAGGCCTTTTCTGGCGAGGTAACAAAATTTGCTTTGGTATTAAAATTAATGCATTTGTTTTTATTTCGTTACTATTTCGTATTCTGAGTTCACTGTCACCCCGTAAATTTTGTTAGCTACGAAATATATTGATTTTGTGTTGTAAGCCTGAGAAAAAATAAAAAAAAAAAATGGCTAAGCATATTTTAGGCCGGGAATTCATTGATGATGAAGAAAAAAATGCAAAAAAACCGTATTTTAAAAAGTTTTCGAGACTAAAAAATATCCCTTTAATTTGTAAGATAATGTTTTTATTCAGCGTTTTTTGTTGTCCAGGCATATTTTCCATGATTAGGTTCAAATTTTTATGACTTAATAAAAAAATTCATTTAACTTTTAATTTTTTTGTGCACCGTCCTACAGTTCGATGTAAATATTTTTCTTTTTACTTTACTAACTGGCAAATGTAATTTGACATGGACGAAAAAAGCAGTGCTGCCAAATTTTTTTCAAACATTGTTACCAGTTTGCCAGAATACCAAATTCAATTTTGGGTGTTTAAGAAAAGTAACAAAATTTACTTTACCGGTAACAGTGAGAATAGGCCTGTTAGTGAAAAAAATATATAAACACGACCTTTTGTGATGGATCCTGAATTCAGGACAGTCCAAACTGCCACTGGGGTCTGTGTTCAAAATTATAGAAAATTATAGAAAATGAATCCTAATAAAAATATTAATTAAATTTTTTCAAATTGTGATCATCATTCGGCAGAGAAGATCACGCCCTTCAATTGGATTTCTGACATAAATTCATCAAAATTTCTCATAAAAATCCGTCAGTCGTTTCGAACTGGCTTAAAATTAACTCTAGTTTGTTGAGAAAACATCAAGTCGCACATCACAAATTGAAGAGAAGGAGATCGCCCGAAGAACTTTACAGTAGTTACAAAGCGTCTATTATATAAATAATGTTTGTATACATATACAAAATATTTCAAGAAATAATTTAATAATTATATAAATTAAGGATTTTTATTTTCTTCCTCGCTAATCTCTTCACATTCGAAAATACAAATTGGTCACTGTCTCTATTTACTCTCCTTACTTCACCTGATTATTATTTCATCATAGTATCACATCAGCTATTAATTACTTTTTCATTATTCTCACTTCAAAATCTCCTAAATTACGAATGATTATTTATAGATTTTTATGATTTCCTTCAGCAGATAATAATTATTTTTCTGGGTTAGTTAAGCGCTCAAATAATAATCATTATTATTGCCGGTGAAAAAATATTGCTCAAACTCGGTTTAACCGTTTTTAAAAAAATTTCCGGCCAGATTGCAGTGTAACCCTATAGACTGTATGGAAAGCAGACAAATTTTTCAAAACAAAATTAAAAAATAAAGCTCCTAAGAAGCTTAAATGCCAAAATGTAATAAAATTTTTATTCAGTCCTAATAAATAGTTTTTTAAGCTAATGTAAGTTTACTTTAATAATTTTTAAAACAACTGCAATAATTAATTGAAAAAAAGTTTATAAATTATGTAATGTTTTATTTTTTTATTCGGTATAAAAGCACTTCTTACTATTCGCGGCATCGCCTAAAAATGTCAAGTGTTCACGAAGTTAAGCGAGTAAGTGTAACCCAGTGAGGTAGTGAGGTAGATGCGAGTCTAGGTGGAGCATATTTGGGACCTTCCCCCGAGAGCTTCCAGTATTGTATAGTTTTGGCAAAACAGATTTTACAGTAAAATATTATACTTTAAACTTTCTAAGAGATATATTTTTTTGTTCTTTTGACAGTAGTTATTGTAACTACGCTCACTTGGTCATATAAGCCTTTAAAATAAAACAAATGAAGAAAAGCTAACCAAACGACAGTAATCTTATGTATTTTCCAACTACAGAATATACCCTATCTCATAAAGTATCAGTTATCACAATCAGACAGCCTGGTAATGGGTTATGCGGGATTATATGTGGAAATAAATGAACCTTGCGTATCCTCTTGGTTGAATTTATTTTCCAAATTTCTATGTGACCAACTTCAAAGCAAAGCATAGATATTAAATATATCTTTAGATTCCTCGATTGAAAAGAATGTTTCCCAGGTTGAGCGTTTATTTGAGATGAAAAATAAAAAAAAATAAAAATAAAAATTTAATGATTATTTTTCAAGTGATACTTTCTTTTTGCGTTCCCCATAATAATGCTTATTATTTTAACATTTAAATAGAGCTCGAAATATTAACCAAACAAAATTACAAAAATAATAACAGAAATGCCCCCTGCGAGTTAGGCGTTCAAGAATTTACTTGCGGTAAGGCATGCCTCTCGTAAGAGGCACTTAAATCAGTTTATTTATTTATTTTTTATTTTTTTTTTTTTGCTTTAATGCTTCTTTTTTAAAATAAAATAAAAATTATAATTATTCATTGCCTCAAATACCTACTGTCCCAGGTTCGGAGTCACTCTTAGATTATGGTCACTAATAGTTCTTAAACTTGCCAATAAAATCACCAATACATGTTTGTTCGTATAAAGATGTGATTAAAAGAACAAATTCTTCCTATAAAGTATAGATTATTTGCTTCTGAATTACTCACAACCCTAGTACTGGATAGTAAGTGCTATCAGGTGCTTTCGTTACGTATACGCACTGTCGTCTTATGAGAAACGTCGTTCAAAAATTAGCTGTCATTTATTTATTTGCATAAAGTCACTTAAAATAATAACAGTATTTGAAATAAACTAACTGTTGATCAAAGTAATATTTTGCTTTGCATTAAAATGCTCAGAAGTGCATTATAAACTAATTTAATCGCACTAAAATCACTTTGAAATGCGGCTCAAAAATAATTTGCTACAAGAAAGTTTTTGAGAGTTTCTTTGTTTTTATTTTTAAACTTATGCCAGTTATTAACAACTGAATTTCAAGAAAATTCGAGTAACTTATAACTTTTAATAAATTTAAAAAGATATTCTGAAAAATCGACGTATTCGGCTTTGCCGCTAAGAGGAACCGTAAAAAACAAACCTTAGAGCATAAAAATAAATAATCAAAATTCGAAACTTACTTTATGAATGCTCATTTCAACGGCGTGACTTCAGTTCTTATAAGTTGCTTGGTGATTTCTAGTCAAACACATACGAATGCCCATAAAAATACGGTGTATGTGAAAATGTGTTTGTAGTATGTACGAGTAGATGCGAGTAAGTAGTATTAGGATTTGGTTTTTTTAACTAGTAGTAAGTTTTGTTAGCAATTATTTTTAGCTCATTTAGTTTGTTAGCTTTTTTTTTTTTTGGAAATATAAACTGCACCGTCATGAACCGCACTGTACCAACGAGATGGTTGGGATAGTTTTTCTTAGATTTAATTTTAGTTACTCTTATCACTTTCGCACAGGAATTTTTGAACACAAATTTAAGCTTTTGAGTGCAGGCATGTATGCACGAATTACTTAGTATTTGAGTGATTTGTATAGGAGATGAGTTTACTAAAAAAAAAACGTATTAGCCAATAACGAAGAGTTTTTGTATTTTTGAATTCGATGTTTTTATTCTTTGAGTTTTAGTTGAATGAAGTTATTTGCATAATATTTAAGTTGTTGTTTTGTTTAGTGTTAAAACTGTGTGAATTAATTAATTTAATTGGTTGTCAGTAGAGTTTCATAATTTTTATTAATATTTTTTAATATCTCAGAAATTTTCCGAAAATTGCTTTTTTATGAAATTTTCTGCACGTAATTTCATTATACATTTTTAATTTGTGTTTTTTCATGAAATTCATACTTTATTTATTTATTATATAGTGATTTATGCTAGTGCGCGAGTTGAATGTGTCTAAAGTATACAAACGTAGTTTATGCTAATTATTAATGTGCTTATTAGTTACTTAGTAGTTTCATATTTTTATCATATTTTTGTCTTAATAAGCTTTTTTTTATTTTTCAACATTAATTCCTGTGGTTTTACTTTAAATGCTTATAACATTTTTATTTTATTTTTTATTTTTTATTTTTTTATTTGTTAAAATTTACAATAATTTTTTTGAGTAAAACTAGTTTATTTAATGCTTAACGTTATTTAGTGTTTTTCTTATTATTATTGTAAACTATTTATTTTCTTACATTTGCCTTGCATTTCACATTCATTTGTTTGTTATATCCTATTTTGTAGTAAATTTCACGTGCATCTTTCTCTCATAATTTCGACCACCTGTATGAATGCTAATTTTGTTGTTGCATTTTGTATTTATTTAATTTTTTTATTTTTTATAATTTATTTCTTTATTTAAATATTTTTCTTCTTCTTTGTTTTCGATTTTCTAGTGCACTTAAGTACTTCAGCTTAAGTCTAGTGAACACAATAGCAATGCTGGCGCTAACAACTGCTGCTATGACAAGCTGTTGATTGCATGATGATTTTTGTAGTCATTTTGTCGAACATTTATTTTATTTCAACCACTATTTTATATATATATTTTGCATAGTATTTATATCCAATAAGTTTTAAAACTTTTAGTCACAACACTGTTAAAAAAAAATAAGATGAGAAATTATTTTTGTTTTAAAATTTTCAATTTCAATTTAATTTTCTAATATAATGTATTTTAATTTTATTTAATTATTTAAAGTAGTTTTAGTATTTAATTTTTGTTTGATTTTATTCAAATTGTTTTTAGCTTTACTTAATTAGTTTCAATATTTTTCAGTGTTTATTATTTATAATTTTCTTTTTTACAATTTTCGTATACTTTTGCTCTTTTTGCTCATTTTTAAAGGTTTTTCTAACTCAAATCAACCACTCAAAGTGCCAAATTGTAAGTGATTGTTTGCACATTTACGCCAAAGTTTAGGTGCCACAAACTGTTACAAAGCATAATTAAATATATAAATTTCTAAGAAAACATTTTAAGTTGAGCATAAACCGAATGAAATGACAATTATGTATGTATATACGGAAAATGAGGATAAATTTTCAATTTCTTAACCCTAACATATATGACTTGAAGACCAAAGACAGCTAATGCATGTACTTGCAACAGCTTTATGGCATACAATGTGAAAATCAAAACATACAAACAGGCGCACAAATTGCTCGAATGCACTATTTTGGCTTATTTTTAATGCCTTGCTGCGATTTGTTATATCTTGAATACTTTACAGTGCTGCGCTCATTGACACTTAAGCAAAAAATTGTATTGAGATAAATTTATTGTAATATTTTTTATTTATTTATAATATCAAACACGTGCTGCCTTACTTTTTTCCAATGTTTGGCGCGCGAGAAATCGATAAGAGAAAGGCGTAAAAAATCTGTTTTATTTCTTACACTTTTATTCACTACTTTTGCACAACTTGCAACATGCATTTGTACTATATGCGCGCACACAAACAAACACAGCTGTACGCACATACAGCTCGCACGCAGCTCGCGCACTTCGTCACTTTAGCACGGCCGTGCTGCTGGTGACTGATGGTGTGCATATAAATTGTGAGCCATGACAGCCACAAAGGGAGCGCAGGGATGGGCTCAGTGCATTGGACGCGCTGTCATGTTACTTGTTCTCATTTTGTGCGACCGCAAAATAAATAACGGTGTATGAAAATAAAATTTTGCAAACATTTTTGTATAAATTTTCATATTTTGCACACACACTCTCTGGCGTATTTTTTTTCTTTTTTTTTTTGTGAATAAAAATATTTAATTAATTTTTACTTTTTTCTCTTAACGCAAAACTAAACAAATTTTTATTATTTTAATTTTTTTTTTATTTCAATTTTATTATTCCGCAAAATTCACACACACGCGCGCGTTCAAAATTTAATCATCTAAGAAAACGGACGAAAACGGAATACATCAGCGAGCGTATACTGACAGACGTGCCACCTCGATTATTTCAAATCCGGAGGAGCCGTACAGCAGCAGCGGCTCAGCAACGTGTGCACACATTCGCCAACGCCAGCTACGCTGTCGTCACCGCTGCCGTTAACATGCATAGTACGTTCGTACTACTCTACACTTGGTCAACGTCGTCGCGCTCGTCGCCAACGAACAACGCTTCGTCCTTCGTCTCCGGCACTGTCGGTGGCTCAGACTCGCCGCGGCGGTCGTGTTAAGCTACCAGCCAACGATGTTTAACAGTGAAAAGTATGAACAACAAAAATCTCAAACTCGTGGCATCACATCGTTGTAGCACACACACACCGATGCATACACGTACGCATGAAGGCATCTTCGGTCCTTTGCAAGTTTGGTGTACAAATTCTCAGTACAACATTTTTTTTTTGTTTATTCTTCGAAATTATACTTTGCTGCTAACGGCCTAAGTTAGAGCTGGAAGTGGACACAATTACGCGCACAAGAGCTACGAAGTTGAGCTTGTCGGCTTGGAAAATTTTGTATTTGCGAATGGAACATTTTTTTATGTGGATGTTGCTGTTGTTGTTCTTACGCTCAGCAGCTCACGCAAAAATAAGTTTCTCTGCAACAATAATCACGTTCAGGCACACAGCATCCAGAGAGAGAGAGAGAGAGAGAGAAACTACAGAGCGAGAGAACTAATGTGTGCAAAAAGAGAGTAAGAATCAGCACATCGCAGCAACCTTTGTCAAACAGCAATGTTGCATGCAGTACGGCACGGCGTATACGCAACATGCTGAAGCAGCAGCACAAAATATCCCTTGCTCCTGCATTGTGTCTGGCAGTGCTCTCTCCTGTACGCTCTCAATTTCTCTCCTCACCATAAGCAACAACTCTCACTTACTTTTGGGCGCAGCAATAATGTTGAGCAACAATGTTGCTTGACACATAAATAATGTTGTAATGACATAAATTCCTAGTGACAGCTGCAGCTTGAAATCGTTGTCGATGTTATCAGGTCATTGAAAGGGATGTGAAGGCAAGAGAAAGAACAAGAAAGAAGAAGTGTTGTTGGATAGCAAATGCTTAAGAGAGCGGAAAATGAAGCAATATAATGCCAAATTGTAGAAATAGAAGCACTTCAGACATAAATTCAGCTTGATTAATAAACCGAAATATTTTTCATAAATTTACTGTAAAAAATTGCGTTCCGGGATGTCAGCCAAAAGCAGTGGAGGAATTTATGTCCACTTCAAGTAATAATACAAATTACCTCGACATCTAGAGGCTCTCTTAATTCTCTTGTTTGAGAATTACTCTTTACTCTTACTCCTTTGGAGAGTTAAAATTTTATTAGAGTGCAAACGTAAAAAGAGCAGTTTGTAGAACTCAGCGTGACTTAGAGAGTATTTTTGAGGGCGAAAGTTTTCAAGTGTGCAAGTGTTGTAGCTTTCTTTGATGTGGGCAGAAAAAGTAATATCTTATCAGTGTAGCGATTTATTTATAAACAACTAAATTCAGATTTTTAAAATTATCAAAGAAAAGTTGCCTAACCCACAAGTGACATTCAGACTATGTCGATTATTCCGTATTCGTTGATTCACAATTTAATACATGTAGCATATCAAAACCCATTTTCCTAGATGCTTTATTGAAGTATTTGCAACCTAAAGTCTTTGTTTTGAAGGACTGACGGATCAAATCACAGCCTAAACCAAGATCAAGATCAAGTTGTTCTGCATATGGCGTATGTATCAGATAAGAAAGGATTTTCTGGACCTGCTGTTTAGTTTCGGGATCGTACTTATAAAACCAATATTCGTCATCAGTAACGACTTTACTGAAGTTCCAAAGTAGAGGGGGGATGGGGCCATGTCACGCAAGTGAGAAACATTTTTGACTGGCATTCACATGGGAGTGACCAGAAACGATTATTTTGCATATGGTTCAAGCAGCTCACGACTTCCGGTGTTAGACCAAGTATCCCCTTGGTAGCCAACACACATCCATTTCGAGGCGAGCTAAAGGCTGGCATCACCGCCGTCCAAGAAATGGGAAGAAGGTGGGTCCTTGTGAAACTTACTACAGCGGCCATATAAAGAAGCCCAAATTTGGTGTCGGATTCTTAGTGGGAGAGAGACTCGGTAGCCGACTACTGGCATTCACCCCGGAGGATGAACGTATCGCCACAATCCGCAATGGAAGAGAAGGATGGTGTAAACATACTTGAACATACTTATGAGCGCTGCCGCCGTAATGATGTCAAAATTGTGCTTGGCAACTTCTACTTCAGGATGGACAAAAAAGGTATCTTCGGCACAAAAGTTCAGCCTCCACGACGACACATCCCCAACAAGAAAATTCAAAAACACAAAACCAGATCGATCATGCGTCTGGCTGTCGAGCGATTTTCTACTCTGCTTGCATACCAACTTTCTGAGAGCACTCATCAGCACCTTGGTATAAGGGAACTGTGGAACGGCAACTCAAACACCCTACGTACCGCCGCTATAGAAACAATTGGTTTTCGGCAGTGACAGAAAAAAAAATGGTACGATGAGGAATGTCGAGCCGCATTGGATAGAAAACAGACTGTCTAGCTTGCAACCCTGCGATCGATCACAACACGTGCGGGGTGGTATCGATATCAAGAGCTGAAGAAAGAAGCAAAAAAAAAAAGAAAGTGAACAAAATGCGTGAGTACGAAGAGCTTGAGAAGCTGACCGACCACGGTAATGCTCGAAAATTCTATGAGAAGATACGCTAATTACGGA